GGCTGATGAGGTGGTGCACGTGAATGGTGTGTGTTCAACCTCACCTACGGCAATGATGATGGACACTGGAGCAGCGCGATCATGCTGTTTTGAGGAGCAGCTTTTCGACGAAATCAAGCCACTCGACCACGACATCAACGTCATCATGGCGAATGGATCAACCGCACCAGCAATGGGTGTCGGCTGCATCAAGTTTACCTGTGGAGAGATCAACAAAGGCAAGAAGAAGGTCATGGTGGACAACGTGCTGTATGTGCCCAAGCTCAAGTTCAACCTGCTTTCTCTTGCTCACCTTATCGACGATTACAACGTCAAGCTCGAGATTGATCATGGCGCTGCGTTCCTGAAGGCAAGGAGAGGAGATATGTACCCATTGATGCGTGAAGGGCGATTCTGGTACCTCAACATCTACAAGGACCCGTCCGACTGCCCGAATGCGACCGATGAGCGAGTGGTTGACGTCATGGAGCAGCCGCACACACCATCGGTGGACGATGACAATGAAGAACCGACGGATGTGATGACAACAGACGTATTAGTCGCGGAAGTCGTCACACAAGAGCGATTGCATCAGCGATTTGCCCACGTCAATGATGGATACCTCAAGAAACTACCTGAAGTGACAAGACACGCACCAACGGCAAAGAAGGAGAACAACAGTGACGACGAGAAGGCCAAGTGTGAAGTGTGTTTGAAGGCCAAGATGAAGCGACTGCCGTATGCAGGAGATGCGTATCGACACCAACACCCTGGTGATCTCATCGATGCGTATCGACACCAACACCCTGGTGATCTCATCGTCACGTCAAACTGTCACAGATCAAGCAGCCAAGCGAGAGAGGATACAAGTATCTGATGGTGGTGGTCGATGATGCATCAAGGTGCCTGCAGACTTACTTTCTCAAGAAGAAATCGGATGCCCCTACAGCATTCATGCAGTACTGCACTGCAGTCCGCATGCCCAAGGCAGTGAGGACAGATGGAGGGGCGGAGCTTATCAAGGGCCAGTGGAAAGAGTTCTGCGAGACAAACCAGATACGACAAGAGAGGAGTTTGCCATATCATCAGTCCCAGAATGGAGTGGCTGAGCGAGCCATTGGTGTGATTTGTGCTATGGCGCGTGCACTGCTATTCACTGCCGGCTTACCCGCATCTTATTGGTGTTATGCGACGGCCACAGCGACATACATTAGGAACCGCACGCCAACCGCAGCCAACGAGGGAATGAAGTATGCTTGTGTATGCGTATGTGTATGTGTATGCGTATGCGTATGTGTGTGCGAGCTCGAGACGTCTCTCGGCTCCCTTGGCCCCCGGGCTCTTATTCTTCGCCCGCGTCAAGAGGAAGAGCTTCGTTCCCCGCTGGTCTTCTCCAGCCTCTTCTTCCCAGAGAATCCTCCGCAAAGACCCTGCCGCAGACAGACGTGTCATGAGGGAGTGAGCACGCTCAGGAGATGACAGTGGCAGCCAAATCAAGTCACACGTGCAGTCGGATAGAGGCAGTCCGACTGTGGCCACGATAGAGATTCGGTGTACCAACCATGTCAGTCAGCATGATGGAAGACGGGAAGAGAAGAAGGGCGGCACGCCTTCGGGGTCGTCGGTGATCTGACGCGCGATTTCACACCAACTCGTCTCGGTGCTGGAGCCGCGTCCGCTGCTGGGATGCTACTTCGCCTCGGTAGCATATCGGTCGCCCAGCCATCCCGTTGATCACCTCCCCTTGGTGCCGTATCGCTTGGACGCTCTGTCCTTGACGCCATTGCGTTAGACAGGCTTGTAGGCACTGTGAATCCCAGCTCCGAAGAGCCCTGAAACGACACACAGACAGACAGAGGGCGATTTGAGCGTACGAATCTCCTGATAGAGTGTGATTGGTGGTGCTCACCATGTGTGTGGTTGTTCTGGTGGCGATGCGATGATGCTGGAAGGTGAAGGCGGGAGGCCCACGACCATCACCGTTGATGAGGACGCGCATCACAAGGAGGAGCAGAGGAGAAGAGGAGCCGAGGCAAGGGGGAGCCAGGCACCCGAACACTGGTCAGAAACACAACAGCAAGAAGTCGGAGGCCATCGCCTTGCCTGAACAGCAGAGTTGCCATCGTGTTTTTGCATGATGAGGGGTAGTGAGTGACCACAATGGGTTTCTGTGAGGCTACGTACCCGAGATGTAGCTGAGGGGATATCATCAGAAGGCGAATGAGGAAGCTGAGTGAGCTAAGCCCGCACGCTACAGTGTTTACAAACGGCCGGGAGAGTAGCTCCAAACAAGGAATCCCGAGCCCGCAAGCACTACGACGTCATGTAGCTGTGGCACGAGTGATGACACACACGAATGACAGCTTCGTCAGGGTGCCAGGACTCCCACGCCTGAGAGGAAGACGCGCTGCACAGCAGCCGGTCCTGCATCCATCCGACGTCAATACGCAAACGAACGGTCATTGGTGGGTTGGGCCATTCGGATGGCGAAGCGGAGAAAGGAGTTTTTGTCACTGTCTGTGGGTTTTCTCCTTCTGTAACTGAGGTTGCATCACTCAGCGGATGTGTTGATGTGAGATGGATCATGTGTCATATTCATGCGCCTTTCACACCCTGCAGTTGACAATGGTGCTGTTCGGAGCCCAGCACATGAAGTGAGGGAATGCTACAGGGTGGATTGAAATGACACACTGACAATCAACACACGAGAAGGAACAGAAGAATCTTGATTGCTGTGTGTGGCGTCTTTCAGAAGTTCGTTGATTGCTGGAGAAGAGTCGGCGAGGTGACAAAGGCTTTTGAGAATATGGCAATACTAACCAATATCCTGCCCAAGCTCCGCAAGACCTGACCACACAAGACACAAGGTACACAAGGTAGGAAGACACAAACCTCATATCTTGCATCGCTGCATGTATGCAGGCTGATCACTGTAGTAGATTCTATTGGCTGCATAGCAATAGAAGGAGCGCGTAGCCATATTAAACAGAGCACGTAACGACAGAGACACGTAGCGTCAAGAGCACGACAAACACCCATGTATGAGTCACTTAAGTATGAAAGAATGGCAGCAAAACAAGGAAGGGGCACAGCGCTGATTCAGCTTGCTCCTGTCAGCCTCAGCGAGCTCGCGGACTCCGGAGCGCGCGGGTGAAACTCTCTGCCGCGGACTCCGGAGTTCGCCTTGCCGATCGCCGACTATTTCTCGGGGGTCCCTCCTCCACATGGAAACAGTATGTCGACCCGCGTGCGCGAGGAGCCCCATCTGCTGCAGGGTGGCATGAAACGACACATCGGCACTCAAACACGAGAAGAAATATGACACTGAAGGGCATTTCGCCTCGATGATATACCGCTGCGCTGATGAAGGCAGGGAGATGTCACCATCTCTCCCGTGCGTCAGCATGTCTTTGGATTTGACCTTGATGCCTTCAAGTTGGAGGCCTAGTCGAGTCTTTCGTAATTCAAGTTCATGGTCGCTCTAGGCTTCGCTCTAGTGGCTACCCAGGCCGGCCCCTCTGGAGGTCTGGTTAATGTCCATTGTCCAACTTGCATCAGTCACATTCATTCTACCACTAGACGTTTCTCCCACCTGTAGCACAACCCCACAGCACTATCTCTCTTTAGAAAGCACATCCCATCATCTTCCCAGCCTACGTGCACCCAACAGTTGCGCTTCTTCGTGCTGCGCAGCTGCCGGCACAATCCAGGTAGTTGGGGAAGCTATGAGTAACTTCGGAACTATGGAATTAAGGGGTAGTAATTTCGCACTCAAAGAACTACTTCACAACCTGTCCTCGTCCTTCTCCTCATCCATGCAGACCACACCTCCGTTGGCTGTCTCGTCCTTGACTTGCCGTTCAGGGATGATGAAACCACTGCAATACGTCCTCGTATTGGCATTGTGCACCGAAAAAACGCGGCATGCGGGAACCTCATCGCACGTAGCAGCACACTGAAGAACGGCGTCGTCGTCCGCAAACACTTCAATCGGAACAAAAGCCACATAGCCGCCTTCGTAGCGCACACCTTGCTGCCATACGACCCTCTTGGTACCGTCGCAGACGCCGGTGTATACGTCTGTCGAAAGGTGGGCAATCTCAGAATTGACACAGCCGGGGCCGGTCTGCTGAGGAGCTGGGACGGTGATGTCTTCCCCGGCGGGCGCGATGGAAAGGGAGAGATATGACGACTTTGAGTCATGTCCCCGAACAATGACTGCCTTGTCCGGCCGCATGTGAGCGTAATTGCCACCCCATGTGTGGGTGCTCTTCTCCCATCTGGAGGTGTTGAATGATGTGAAGTCATCAGCCCACTTAAGAACAAAACCTGACAGACAAGAACAAGACCTCAGAAAAATTCCAATTTCCAACATAATTCTCTTCCAACCCTTTGAAATTGAATCATAGTTGTAGACCTTCACGTAGTCATAGTACACAGTAATGGGGAGCTTTGTGTGTTCCTCATCAAGTATGCCTGCCCAATCCTTGGCCCAAGGGATCGCTGGAGAGAGTGGCCACACCGACATCCGCACGTTCATGGTCTCATTGAGCTGGGGCAATGAGGGTCTGCATCCCTTCTTCTTCTTCTTCTTCTTTGGCCCGCATCTGACTTCGTGGCGGATCCGCTGCTCGTCAAAAAACCAAGCGACGTACTCAGGTGTCCACTCGACAGCAAAGTGGTGGAAGCCTTTTTTGATGGCTTCGATTTGTGCATCCGTGTCCCTCGCGTAACCCGGTGCCGCGTGAAACATTTCTGGATTCCGGCGCCTGCCCATGCTGCCCGTTATCATGTTTGTCTGGCGGCAAATAGGTGAAAGCAACCCAGTTGTCACGATATGAGTCTCTTTCCTACCTGTATCGGTGCATGGGTGTGCCCCCCCCTGCCATGTATCTCAAAGTCAATCTCTTGCCACGTCGCCCCGGACACCTTGTCACTATCGTTCTTGTAGAGGAAGAAAGTTGCAAGTGTGCCGTTGTCTCTGACATTCGGGAAGAAACAGGCCTCAAAGCGGCCGTACTGGAAAGCCTCTACGGTGGCTACTTCCGCAGCGTCGAATTTGCGCCCACACTCGCCATAACACGACCCTACAACCCGGACAGAGACAGTCAGGGATATGACAGCAGTAGGAGAGGCCATCAGGCACGGCCGGTTACCTCCGGCGCCAGGACAGCTGCAAGCACTTGGATCTTGCGAGTCCCGAAACAGCAACTGATAATCGTACCAGCGGGGCCAGAGGTCCTCCTCTCCAACCGAGTAGCCGACGGCGCTGGAAACACTGAGAGGCAACAAAAAAAACAAATAAGCTTCCATTTTGCCCACTGGTCCCGCTTTCATTTCATTCTCATAAGAAACGCCCCCCATGCTAACGGGCTTGTAGGACTTGATCATTAATACCTCGATCGGGGTAAGTCATGTGTGTCCAATCTGTAGGTGTCCAGGAGCTCAACATCTCACGAATTATGCAAAACTCGAACACAACAGCGTGGTAATCATCGTTTAAACGCATTTAGTCACTTGAGTGTCAGCTCTGTCACACGTTTTTGTAGAGACGCCGTATTCATTTGATTCCTATCGCGCTTCATAGCTTGTTATACATCCAGCTAGATGTCTTTCGACGTAAATACCCGTTCCGTGTCTTTACGTCTGCCTCTTTACGTCCTTTACGTACTGCCATATTCAGTTGTATATGTGCCACATGCATGTTGATTGCGTTTGCGTAAGAGAGAGAGAGCTCTATCTCTCTCTGTGGCGTGTCAAGACCAATCTGCGTGCTTTGTCAAGCATCTCATTGTCACGCGATGCATGTGTGGGATGGATGAGCTTAACAGTCATTTGTCCTTTCAAGGATTTCTCTTGCGTCTCGAGGGGGCGAGTATCCAATCAATTCTCTCTAGGCCTGGGGCAATGGATACGTCCAGCGCGGCCCTTTCGTATCAGCAACAGACCCAATGGCCCTCGAACAAAGAGTTGCATCAGCCATTCGCCTGTGGTGCTTGTCTGACGGGCTGCAGTATGCGACCTTGGAAGACGCGCCAGGCCGACCCTGACTATCACAATGTTGCTTTCACGCCGAGCAGTCGTCACACCCAGTCGAAGAAAAAACAGAACCGAGACTTTGACCTGCCCATGCCTGATCCATCTGTAGGGGCGACGCAGGACGGGAGCAAGAGCAGGAGCAAGAAGAAGACCTTGAGCTTGTCATATCAGATGGCCAGATCGCAGCTTACCAGAAGGTACACATACCTGTGTGCACCGATTAGTCATCTATGCATCCAAACAATCACTTGCCCGCCCTCCCGCCCATCCATCCATCTATCCAGCCAGCCAGGCCGCCAGCCAGCCAGCCGCTCACCCACACCCAAGGAAACCACCGATCCACCCACACAACCACACACGGCCAGCTCAAATAGACAGAGAACAACATGCAGAGAGACAAACATGTGTGTGGATGCGTGGGTGCTTGTATTAAGGGAGAAACTTGCATTATACGTAACACTCGTTTGTGTGCCCGTGATACTCATACAAATACAGTCCCATGAGCACGCAGAGTCAAACGCTCACGGGGAGGAGGGTGTCCAAACCAATGCCACAAATCCATCGACTTTGGTGCATACCTACCATCCAATTCCCTCTACGCCAGTCCTTAATCTATCCACAAGCCGTCCATCACACCAAAGCATTCCGTGAGATCAGCCGTGTTTGCCTTTCCTTGCCCGCCCACTGACCGGCATATGCCACATCTTGTATGGCGGAATCTCCTTGAGAATGCCCTCCAACGCCACCTCGTCGATGAGGGCACAGGGCGAGCACTTGGTGGGAGGCGTACTTGTACATGTAGTAGAAACGCTCCAACAGGTCACTGCGAAACTTCGTGTGCTGCAACACACAAAATGCAGCACTTGTGAAACGACATGCACACGTGAGACCCCACACGAGACGGGCCACTTGCTTGCGTGACTGACCTGGATGTCCTCTAACGTGATGGTTTTGTAGATGGTCATGGCGTCCTGGTCGTGGATGTCGAAGACACTATCTCGTACTGAGCTGAATGGAACAGACACGCATACACACATAGACATGTGTCCCGTCGGTCGTGCCCTTGACTCTCTCATCCAAAGCCGTATTTACTTACTGTAGGGCAGAGCCTGGGATGACGCGATATCGTCAAGTTGCGCAGAAGTGATGTAGTTGGTCGGCGACCCGTTCGGTGACGGCTTGGGAAGGAGGCAGAACACGCGCATGATGAGCCACAGCAGTGGTCCTTTGGCTGACACACACACGCACGTACACACAGGCCCAGCCATGAACACCAGAGAGATAAACAGACGCGTGAGGCTCATGGTCGGTGGGTGGGTGGGTGGGTGGATGGGTGCGTGAGTGGGTGCGGCCGAGCTGATCGTGGCATACCAAATGCGGGCAGGTCATCCAGAATGTGTTGCGGCTTGTACTGCTGCAGCTCCTGCTCACGCTCGTTGCCCACCACGGCGGACGTACTGGCCTCGCCGCCTTTGTTCTTCTCGCCGAACCCATCAAGTTCTACCGTCTTTGCACCAACTGAACGCATCCAGCAGCACACAAACACACACACACTTGCCGCTCACGTAGATCTCCCCGTTTCCCTCCACCCCTGACCTTTGCGCGCCCTTTCGGTGAGATGAACGCCAGCGGCACCTAGCTTCACCACCTGCCCAGCCGTCAGGCCGTCAGCCTCCTCCCCCTGACGCACATATGCACTCTTCTTGTCACTTGTCTACATATCCATGAATATGTTTGCATACACAGAGATGCCTGAGTGCAGACTGTTTTTCTTGGGGCACCACTTGTAATGCAGCAAGACCCACAGCAGCAGGCAGAGGCAAGAGGGAGACATGCGTTCATGGCGAGGCGGCAGCAGGGAGAACAACCAGACATCTTTATTATGCACTGCTCAGCTACAATTTTTCGATGATTTGACAAGAAGTTGACGGGGAAAAGTTAATTCCACGTCTGTCTGTCTGTTTGTTTGTTTGTTTAGTGTGTTGTTGATTTGTCAGACGTCGATGTTTAGCATGATTGAAGTCAAAAATAAGCATGATTGAAGTCAAAAAAAATAAGAGTATACTCAGACCGCATCAGGCACTGACAGGCAGTCGGTCGCGCACATATAGATTTGATTCGTATCGGGCCGTCAGTATTGATTGAACAGGTGGGGGAGAAGGGAGGAGACAAACAAAGGAAGGGGTATATGATGGTTTGCGTGGGTATGATGGTTTGCTTGACTTATGTGGAGGAAGGGGAATGGAAGTGTTGTTGACAAGATGAGAAGCCTGGTTTTGGCGAGTGCGGCGGCGATACGATGGGATCTTTCCGCCAGCCGCAGTTGCGCTACCGGCCTGGCGTTCCTTAATCGTTTTGTCGAGTGCTGGCCAATCCAAAGAGGCTCAACCAGCTGGGCCAGCTGGACTATGCGGCTGAAAGTTTCATCATTCTATCCTGCAGGACTCATCACAAAGCGTCCTGCCATCCAGGTAAACACGCTTGCTATCGCTCGCCGCTATTTGATACGGGTCCCTGTGATATATGTGATGTCGCCGGGTGAACGTATGCTGGACCGCAAGGCGGATGTGAGTGACGTAGCTCACCACAGACGTATAGTAGATAATACGCAGATGTCCAATCGAGAGTCTATCTAGAACTGCACCGCACCACACCACACCACACACATGACACCAGCCACACACAACACCATAGGTGAGATGGACAGCGATGTGTGTGAGGGGTGGGGCGAGTAGCGTACCAGCGGTCCATACACAAGATGCCCCGATGACACAAACCAAACACGACACCACAGATGTGCCGTCACCCTGCACCACCATCCACACGTATGGCGAGAGAGAGAGAGGTGATGGATGGAGTAAGCCATATGTGATGGCGTGTGTGAGTGTGACGTACCAGCAGTGGTAACCCAATCAACCAGACGTACCAGCATACCATCCACATAGAGAGAGGTGATGGATGGTCCGCATCACACGTGTAGGTGCGTACCATCAGTAGTGAGTAGTGTCCCTGGCATGCACCAGTCAAAACCAACCAACCACACGACACATCCCAAGCTGAGCACACCATGCGATGCAATACAAGCCAGAAGTGAACATGGTCGTGGCCCAATGAGTGAGTGCGGTGAAGATCCGTACCAACGAGTAGGGCTACGACCCGGTGTGATGGCAGCCAAGGCTCATACCATGCCAGACGAGCACACCAAACACACTGCAGTCATCCGACACAAGAGAGTGATATGTGGATGGATAGTGGTGCGCGTGAGGTGCACGGATACGTACCTGTACAGTCAGACAGGTGATCCAGGCGTGGTGCTCTGCTGGTCGGTGCGCGAGCTGCATAGCACCGTAAAATGGATGCCTGCAGATCCAGCCCTACTGCAATGAGCCATGGCCAACATTGTCCCAATCGCCATCAAAACCAAGCGTGGATACAATTGCAATGGGCCAAAAGCAAGAGGCCAAACACAATACACAGCGTCATGTACAGTCCGGACCGCGTAAGTGGGTCACCGCATAAGCGGGTCAGTTGCGTAAGTGGGTCAGCCCATCCCGATCACTCCGTACACAGTCAAAAACGGACCGTGTAAGTGGGTCACCTCCCAAAGAGACTCAAATCAGCCATCCAAACCGACCATTCATGGCTCAAAATGACCGGAAGACGATGAAGAACCTCTCTGTGAAAGAGCGGACCGATGAAAGAGTGATTCAACGGAGAAATACAGACATTTCGATGGTCATCTTCTGAGATGAACCATTCTGGATGGCGATTTGCGACGAAAAGGCGAGTTTGCTTGGCGAGCTTGACTCTCAATGTAAACGGAAGAGCATTCTGTCGCTCGCGCTGCAATGACGGCACCGCTGTGACAATCAAGCGAGTCAATTGAGTCACCATCTTCATTTGACGACATTCATTCAGCAAGAAGCATCTGAGAGTGACCAGAACTGACCTGCCGGCCCCACCCCTCCCCTCCCGCCCCGTCCACCCACCCACCCAC